AAATGGGTTTGGAATGATGAAATTTCCACTATTTGTTATTAAAAGGGTGCTAATTACGATGAAATGTGCTAAATTATTATTAAAATAAAAATAAGAAAGTTGTAGGTGATTAAAGTGAAAATGTCGAAAAATGAACGATTTTGGCGTTGTAAAAACTCATATCTCTTTGGAAAATAGGGTTCGAAATATGTAATTTCCAGAATTTGTTATTAAAAGGGTGCTAATTACGATAAAATGTGCTAAATTATTATGAAAACAAAAATGAGAAAGTTGTAGCTGATTAAAGTGAAAATATCAAAGAATGAACGATTTTGGCGTTGTAAAAATGGATAACTCTTTGGAAAATGGGTTTGGAGTGATGAAATTTCCACAATTTGTTATTAAAAGGGTGCTAATTACGATAAAATGTGCTAAATTATTATTAAAACAAAAATGAGAAAGTTGTAGATGATTAAAGTGAAAATATCAAAGAATGAACGATTTTGGAGTTGTAAAAATTGATGACTCTTTGGAAAATGGTGTTGGAATGATAAAATTTCCACTATTTGTTATTAAAAGGGTGCTAATTACGATAAAATGTGCTAAATTATTATTAAAACAAAAATGAGAAAGTTGTAGATGATTAAATTGAAAATATCAAAGAATGAACGATTTTGGAGTTGTAAAAATTGATAACTCTTTGAAAAATGGGTTTGGAATGATAAAATTTCCACTATTTGTTATTAAAAGGGTGCTAATTACGATAAAATGTGCTAAATTATTATTAAAACAAAAATGAGAAAGTTGTAGATGATTAAAGTGAAAATATCAAAAAATGAACGATTTTGGAGTTGTAAAAATTGATAACTCTTTGGAAAATGGGGTTGGAATGATAAAATTTCCACTATTTGTTATTAAAAGGGTGCTAATTACAATAAAATGTGCTTAATTATTATTAAAATAAAAATGAAAGAGTTGTAGGAGATTAAAATGAAAATGGCAAAAAATGAACTACTCATCATATCCTAGAACCTCGCCCACAAGCGACCTCGGCTAAGGTTAAAAGAAAGGTTTTATAACTTAGCCTTATTAATATAGATAAATTAATGTATCATTCCAATATGGCCAACTCAATATAGCTTTCGACTGAGATGCTGCAATATCATAACCAATTCTAATTGGATGTGATATTAATCATAATGATATTGACGGATATCCAGGACGATTTGGGCTCTTTTGATATCAAATCATGTATTATGAGGTGTTCAGAACAGTATTAAAAACTGTCATAGATAATCATTAGATGCATCAGGCACTACATCAAGGGATGTTAGAATTTGATGATATAAACGGGTGGCAGGAATGATTTTGATCGAACTCGACGGGCTATTTTGACATACAGATCAAAATCAGATATTAATATTGATGTTTAGTAGGTATAACGGCGACAAATCAGATATTGTGGACGCTATTGTTAGATATTAAATTTGTCTGGTACAAATTGATTTAAAAACAGATGGGGGAAAATTCAAGATTGATCGAATAGTTATACAATAACGCAATTAGGAATCACCGAACCTTTAATGAACACGATTTCGACGGGATCAATGACACAAAGCGCACTTAGTATAATCACACGCATTATACAAGAGGCGATTTCAAAACCCGTATCGATCTCGTCTTGTTGGGTATCAGCAACAAGTTGTTACGATTGACGTGCTGAAAATGAGCTTCGACGAGAATAAAAGAAAAAAAAAACATTTTTGACCACTAAAGACGGAGAGCACAATGACGTTTAATTAAAATAACGTCTATTGAGTAAGTATGAAACGCGATAAATAAATAAAATTAGATTTTGTGGTTTTAATGGGGAAAGGTTTCTGATGGTTCCTAATATTCGAAACATTTCGAGTAAGGGTTTTAATAGTTGTACGCGAATAGAATATGCAAATAAGCGATCTTTGTTTCCTGTTAATTCCTGTACGTTTAACTAACCGTTTAATGGCGCATCCGTAGACGCGCGGTGCGTATTAACGCAAACAAAGGGCTTGACTTCCGGTTTTAACGTTACGTCATTGTTCGCCTCTGAACGTTTGACGTTCCCGGGGAACGTGAATATCGAATTTCCCGCTTTCCAAAACTGAAACATAATCGGAAATTGAAATGTATGTATATGGGAAATTGAAAAGAATAATTTGTGATTCTTAGAATTTTTTTTTTCAATTTCTGCGAAATGAAATCGAGATATTTGTCTCATCTTTAAGGAAGAAAAGAGTCAAGCGATTATTTTTTTTTCATCGCGTTACCACCAACCAGCATCCGGATGACGAAGCGATTCTAATCTCTTTAATCATCGTTCTCGTTAGGCGATATTCCTCTTCAAGAAGAGGAGATGTCGCTGAATATTTATAACGCTACGGGGGTGTCATTCTCCTTTTATTTGAAATAACCCGAGGGTGTTAAACTTTTTTTTTGTACTCGTTAAAATGAGTTTAAAAAAGTTTCGTATAAAATATGGTATCCAAATATGCTCATAGTGGCTAGTCCATTATTGTTGTGTTATTTCGAAAACGAATAACTGAAGTAAAAGGGAAAAAAATTGAAAAAGTCGGGTAGATAATTTATCATAAAGAAAGCTACTTTGGCCTGAAAGGCTGTTTATTGTCTCCCATTTAGGGCCATTTGAGGGGTTGAAAGAAAAATGAAACAGAACCTTATGCAGGACGATACAACAATAAGCCACTCCGCCAAGACGTCGAAAGATCACGAGATGTATTCATTCCCTAACTATTGTATAGGTTTTATTTTTTGTTGTTGTTGATTTATTCGGGTTGTATTGATGCAGGATGAACATTTTATGTAAATTAATATTTCAGGAGGTTAATAACATTGATGGGAGTAATAATTAATTTGTCTTGCCAAGCCGAGTTTTTTGCAATCACTAAATTGAGGTATTAAAATTAAAACCCTTTTATGATTACTAATTGAAAATCTCTGTGTGGCAAATTACTACATAACCGGGATAATTGATTGTAGGAAACCGCAAAATTTCCACTATTTGTTATTAAAAGAGCGCCCATTACAAAAGGATAAAAAAATTGTTGTTAAAGTAAAAATAAAAANTAATTTTCAAGAAAAAAATCTTCTTAAACGAGTCTAAATGATGGGTTATCTCAAAAAATGACCAAAATAATAAAATTTTTACTATTTCGTTGCCAACTTCACCCCATTAACTTTAAATTTGTTAATTTTTTGTATCTTTTTTATTTTTTAAGATAAATTAGTCGTGTTTGGACTCATTTTAAAGGATTTTCCACAAAGATTACGAATATCACAACATAAAGTTGATATTTCAAACCGTATCTCAGTTATCTTTATCTTTTTATGTTCAACGTCAAATTTGACACAAACTTAACCCCCTTATTCGACAATCTCATCATTTATCCCATTTTCTAATCATCCCGTTTATTCACCATTAGAATCATGTTTTCGAAAAAGAAAAAATCGCAAGAACCCCTTTTTCACGGGGAAATAAAAGAGTTAAAAAGTGGTTTGGAAAGGATTTGCACCCAAGCGGAATCTCAACACCCCACGTTCCTCAAAGCGATGAAGGAAACGAGTCAGATCGTCGGTGTCGACATGAAACATCATCTCGCGCTAACATTTCTTGGGGCCAAAACAGCGACGAACACGGTAAATTCCCGATCGAGAGCGATGATGAAGAGATGTAATTTAGCAACAAGTAGTGAATCAAGTATTGAGGAAGATCTCTTTAAAAAGAAGGTTACGACTGCAATTATTGAGGAAAACGGAAAATTAGTTGAGGTTACAACTGAAGAAGGGGTTGAAATTGTGGGTAATGAGTGTTGTGTGAGAAATTCTGGTGGGTTAAAAGTGGTGTCATCGACGTTGTGTTTTTTCCAAGATGATGATGCGAGGAGTATTGGGTATGATATTGATCACCCGCATCCAAGCGATTTGATTGAGTATAAACCCCACATTTTTAGGAAACGAAGCCCGCGGTTGACGACGTCTAGTTCTGATCAAGATCATCAAGTTGAAATGATGAAGGAAAAATGTGATCCATCGAAAACTTCGGTCGATAGTGAATCTTTGCATTATGATGATATTGATGATGATACTCAACGATTCATGAATTTAATTAATAATTCTAGTTTCAATTCTTTGTATGAGGAAAAAAAGGGACACAATCAGAATGTATTAGCTGCTCAAATTGTGGGGATTAATCCTGGGAGGCCAAAAAGTACGAGGAAAGAACATAGAAAAACCAAATTTGATAATGACAGTCAAAAGGAGTGCTGTGAAGGGAACGAAAGGGAATGTTGCAAAAGACAAGTAGTTAGGGTACATAAAGTTACAAAAAGGGAATTAACTCCAAAAGAAATTGAGAGATTTCGTGGATTTGCTGGATGTTCAGGGAAAAATTCGCCGTGCTCTTCGAAGAAGTTTTGACACTGACATTTCATTTCTATCTCATCAAAATTAACGAAAAAATGTGCTGGTCTTGCAAAAATAAGCAAAAAAACCAAAAATCATGTTGCGAAAAAACGTTTGAAGAGAACAAATCTGATAAATGCGTCACCAATAATGGTTGCAACGTAATTAACGCTGATTGTCGAAGTAATTACGAACAGAATTGCTTTGAGAATGAGAATTATTTACCGAAAAACCATGAAGAGAATAAATGCGCTTCAAACGCGGGATGTTCAGCTGATAACGTTGAATTTCGAAGGACTTATATCAGGAAGTGTCATAGAGAGATGTTGGATGCTATTGGGAGGGAACAAAATGTGATTGAGTCAAAAAATGGGAAGGAAAAGCAAAAGGGTAAAGATAAGGTTAAGGCTGGGAAGAAGAAGAAAGGTGGGGGTAAGAAGAATAAAGGTACAAAAACGAGTAAGAAGATAACAAAAGTGCCAAAGAAATCTAATAAGTCTAAGAAGAGTGTGGTTGCTTCAAAACAACAAAGTGGTAAAGAAAATAAAGGAAATGAAGGAAATGAGGAAAATGAAGGAAAAAACATTTTGCCTTGTCCGGGTAAATTAACGACTTATATTCATATCCAAGCAAAAGGATGTGGTGTTGAAGATGAAGGTTATCACAAAATTTTGAGTGAAAATTGTAGTTTGATCGTTAAAAAGCTTGAAGGAAACGAATGTTGCTTAAAATTAGAAAAACCAGACGTTGGAATTCAAGTAAAACCATCAATACGTGAAAGAGGAATAACCCCACCACCCCAAAACAACGAAGGGGTACAAACCGTGATCGTTAAAACTTGCGATACAAAAGATAAATCACAAGAGGCGAATATATTAAATAAAGACTTGATTAAAAAAGAACTAAATACCCGTAACGAAGATTGTTTTCCCGGATTTTTATTCGACGGCGTTTTCTATCACAGCGGATTGTTAAAAGGGCTTTGTTGCAACGACGTAAAAATAGGCACCGAATCCACGAAAGAAAATAAAACCCAAAATACCAAACCAAACTCGAAAAAAAGAAAATCCGCCAAACGAAAAACGAGCGCGAAGAAAACATCTAAAAAGTTAGCAAAAAAATAAATAAATCATTCTGGCATAATTAATTTTTTTATTATGATTACTAAAATTTTACGTTAATTAAAACTATGGTGAATAAATTCCAGAAATATTACAAAGTTTAAGTTTAAGACAAACGTGGTTGTTAAAAGATGAAAGCTTACTTTAGCAAAGTTTGTAACTCCACAAAACTCTAATAGTTCCAAATTCCAGTTGCAACTGTTTTCTTTTTCTGTTCCTAGTGATTTAGCATAAATCAGAAAATGTCAAAATTGGACGATTTTAAAATTTTGGCAGCTTTGTTTTGAGATGATATCAATTGATTATCATAAACCGACGTTTTCTGGTCTTGATTTAAACATAATATCAAATCTAGACCCTTGGCATCAAGCGATCTCGGCTTATTATGCACAGAATAATTTCTGCTGATCAAATTAAAAAAAAAAGAAAATCCATCAAAAAAGTTGTCAAAAAAATAAATAAATCATTTTGACATAATCATTTATTTTATTATGATTATTAAAATTTAACGTGAATCAAGACTATGGTGAATAAATTCGAAAAATATTACAAAGAAACCTCGGAAGTGATTCAATCTTCTGCTGAAAAATTCAGTAAAGACGCAAAAAAAACATGCCAAGAATTGCCGGGTAAAGTAGCGGAAGCTTACAGTAAAGTACCGGAACACATCGAGGCGATTCAAAATAGTGCTTTCGTCGCTAAAGTTCAAACGTCCGTTCAATACATCGTCGATAAAGTTGTGGAGGAGTATCAAAAAGTTAGAACGCCCGGCGAAGATTCTTGCCAGGAAGAAGTTAAAAAGGAAGATCATTGCGAGGGATGTTGTAAAGAAAACGATTAAAAAAGAATTATTTTGAGATGTCGAGTAAAAAAAAGAAAAAGATTAACGTTGATAAATCAAGTCAAACATCGCTAGAAGAAAAAGCTAAAAACGTTGAGCGTCAAATTGTTAAGTCGTTTTCACAGACGGTTAAAAAGTTTACCGAAGAACTCGATAAAGGGAACTTCTCAAAAACGAAGTGAGTAGAATTAATTAAAAATATCCTTTGTGAAGTGCATTTAGTTCAAGTATACCAGGAAATGGTGTTGTTATAAATTTGTTAAAACCGTTTGTATATAATATAGCCCCGTTAAAGTAGTCTGCAATTGGAAACGTTAGCGTTTGTCATATAGTTTCCCTAATTGTTAGTGTTCCAGTCGAGAGTAGTAACTTTAGTCATTAATGTTTCATACAAGAGAAGTGTCCCCTTCTCTAATACACCCGAGAACTAAATCTAACCTAAAATTATACCTAAATTAATTTTTAATTTAATTTTTATAGTAAATTTTGTGGTGCATCATTTAAAAATTTTTTTCAAAAATGTCATGGTAAAAACGACGATTTCAAAGAAAAATTGAGAGAGAAATTTTTTGAAGCTAAAGACCACGTCAAGTTTTACACGGATGATTTGTCCATAATCATGTTGGTGATTGCGATTGAAACGAAAGAGAATGTTGGGTTTATGATCGACGAAGCCAAACCGTATTTGGAGATTTTGATGGAACAAGGGAAAATTGTGGGGAAAGGGTTTGCGAGAAAAGCTGGGAAAATACTTCATGATATCAAAGAAGAGATTTCGTTATAATTAAATTCGAATAAAATTATTTTTTAATTGTCCTAAATTATATATATTTTTTTTTTTACTTTTGATCCTATCTCTTTGGAAAATAGCGTTCGAAGTATGAAATTTCCACAATTTGTTATTAAAAGGGTGCTAATTACGATAAAATATGCTAAATTATTATTAAATCAAAAATGAGAAAGTTGTAGGTGATTAAAGTGAAAATATCAAAAAATGAACGATTTTGGAATTGTAAAAATAGATAACTCTTTGGAAAATGGGTTTGGAATGATGAAATTTCTACTATTTATTATTAAAAGGGTGCTAATTACGATGAAATATGCTAAATTATTATTGAAATAAAAATAAGAAAGTTGTAGGTGATTAAAGTGAAAATGTCGAAAAATGAACGATTTTGGAGTTGTAAAAACTCATATCTCTTTGGAAAATAGGGTTCGAAATATGAAATTTCCACAATTTGTTATTAAAAGGGTACTAATTACGATGAAATGTGCTAAATTATTATTAAAATAAAAATAAGAACGTTGTAGGTGATTAAAGTGAAAATGTCAAAGAATGAACGATTTTGGAGTTGTAAAAATTGATAACTCTTTGAAAAATGGGTTTCGAATGATGAAATTTCCACTATTTGTTATTAAAAGGGTGCTAATTACGATGAAATGTGCTAAATTATTATTAAAATAAAAATAAGAAAGTTGTAGGTGATTAAAGTGAAAATGTCGAAAAATGAACGATTTTGGAGTTGTAAAAACTCATATCTCTTTGGAAAATAGGGTTCGAGGGATGAAATTTCCACAATTTGTTATTAAAAGGGTGCTAATTACGATGAAATGTCCTAAATTATTATTAAAATAAAAATGACAAAATTGTAGGTGATTGAAATGAAAATGTCGAAAAATGAACGATTTCGTAGTTGTAAAAATTCATATCTCTTGGGAAAATAGGGTTGAAATGATGAAATTTTCACTATTTGTTACTAAAAGGGTGCTAATTACGATGAAATGTGCTAAATTATTATTAAAATAAAAATAAGAAAGTTGTAGGTGATAAAAGTGAAAATGTCAAAAAATGAACGATTTGGGAGTTGTAAAAACTAATATCTCTATGGAAAATGGGGTTGGAAGAATAAAATTTCCACAATTTGTTATTAAAAGGGTGCTAATTACGATCAAATGTGCTAAATTATTATTAAAATAAAAATGAGAAAGTTGTAGGTGATTAAAGTGGAAATGTCGAAAAATGAACGATTTTGGAGTTGGAGAAATTCATATCTTTTTGGAAAATCGGTTGGGTATGACGAAATTTCCAAAATTTGGTATTAAAATGGTGCTAATTACGATGAAATGTGCTAAATTATTATTAAAATAAAAATGAGAAAGTTGTAGGTGTATGAAGTAAAAATGTCGAAAAATGAAGGATTTTGGAGTTGTAAAAACTCATATCTCTTTGAAAAATGGGGTTGGAAGGATGAAATTTACACAATTGGTTACTAGAAGGATGCTAATTATGGTGAAATGTGCTAAATTATTATTAAAATAAAAATGCCAAAAATTGGATGAAATTTTGCGATAAATTTTGATTTTGTCCAACTTATTAAAAAATTAATAAACAAAAAAATAAACAAACGATCAATCTTTCTATTTAAAATTAAAAACGCTTTTCCATCCAAAAACAATCTTGCAGTGAAAAGTCAAGAAAACACGTTCCGTTCGTTTTGAGCTGTTCGCGCTGCAATTTTTAATAAACCGACCCTTAGCCTGCTCGCGATAAAAATATTAAAACGCACCACCTTAAATTTGACGGAAAAATCGATGTAGGCGCCCACCGCCCCCTTTAGCCACCCCCAACCCCTTCAGGTTCTCTGTTTTGTTGTGCATATTACCGGGAACAAAGGTGTCAACTGCGTGATGTATTAGGTTTGAGCTTAGAGAACGTCCTGCGAAATTCGCTTACAAAACGAACGCCTTTATTAGCCGCATCGATCTCGTTTAATACTCCGTGTGTAATACTGTATGTGTTAACTTCATTAACAAAGAAGAAAATCGATAAAAAAAAATGTATTTAAAGATAAATGGAGGAAAAACATTGTCCTCATAAATTTTTCATCCAACAACGTTACCGTCTTCCTTACAAAATGAGCTAAAATAGAAAAAGGGTACCGGAAAGAGAAGGACTCAAAGGGCAATTGTCCTCAGATTGTGTACGTGTGACTCCCGAGTTCTTCTTCGTCTTATCCAACGACCGACGTCTCTCCTGGTTTCTTTTGTTTCGGAACATAAATACGTTAGAAGGGTACAAAGGAGTCTGGGTGTAAATAAGGGCCTTGATTCCGTTACCGTCCGACGGATACAAAAGAGGACTGCTTCAGTATTTATGGAATATTACATCGGGCGATTTTTCAGGAGAAATATCAACATCGAAAATAGATTTTTGTTGTTAATTTTTGGTTGTGTTGAATTATTGGCGAGACAAAATTGGTAATACAAAGTGGGGTTGTTTTAGTTTTATAACGAGACTTCACACAACCGGCCGATCCATCATGCCTAGATTAAATCTTTGCTCATACAAAAATAAGGTCCGTTCTTTCACGCGTTCGTCGTTTCACATTACTTTAATCGAATAATAACCCTAATAGAGTACGTTGATTCTATTGTACGCTAATGTTTGTACTTGGACTACTTGCTGTTATTCATTATTTAAATTATTTAACGTCAACTCCACAGATAAATTCTTATCAAATTTAAATTAGCAATCATTTTATTAAGATACTTACCAGAAAACAAAATCATTAATTTAATCACGTACAAAGTACAACGCATTTTTTTCTAATTCTTTAAAACGACTAAATCAGTCACTTTTACACTTCCAAAAACATTATTATTAATTTAATTTACAATAAGGGAACCGCGAATTTTCATTTACCCCTTCAAAAATGTTTACATTCCGCGACTATTTGATTTTCGCGTATCAACCACGTGTCGAGGGCGCACTTTTCAGCAAGAACTACCGCGTTGAACCTGAAACGGGCGACTGAAACCGTGTTACTCGTATCCACGCTGAAGTTTCAGCGCGATTTCGGCGGTCATGCGCCGTTTAAGTCCAAAATCTCTTCCGTCACTCGAAACAAATCCGATTTTAATTCTAATTAGCCTGATAAATGCTTTTTGAAACACACGGTATTAAAAAAATTTTTTAGATATTTCAAATCTTAATTAAAATTATCGTATCTCAAGAAGTAATTGAGATATCATTATGAAATGAGAAGGGTTTAAAAGCAAATTTAATCTAGTTTTAATGTGGGAAAGCCCAATTTTAAATTTCGATTAATTCGGTTGTTATGATTTTTTTAATTACACCCTGTCTATTAATAGTTTAAAAATTGAGTAAAAGCTTATAATTAAAAGGGTCGTATCTCAAGAACTAAGTGAGATATCTTAATGAGATAAAAAACATTTTAAAGCAAATTTAATCAAGATTCATCACTCAAAAAATAATTTCTTATTTTCTATAACTCAGGTTGTTGTGATTTTTTTAATCCAACCCTGCTTTTTTTTCTTGTTGCGGATGATTTATAAAAATTGAAATTAATGTATCTTAAGAACTAATTGAGATATCGTGATGAAACTAAAAGAGTTTAAAAGCAAATTTAATCTAGTTTTAATGTGAGAAAGCTCAATTTTTAATTTCGATTAATTCGGTTGTAGTGATTTTTTTAATTACACCCCTGTTTATTAATAGTTAAAAATTGAGTAAAAGCTCAAAATTAAAAGGGTCGTATCTCAAGAACTAAGTGAGATATCTTAATGAGATAAAAAACATTTTAAAGCAAATTTAATCAAGATTCATCACTCTAAAAATAATTTCTTATTTTCTATAACTCAGGTTGTTGTGATTTTTTAAATCCAACCCAGCTTTTTTTCTTGTTGCGGATGGTTTATAAAAATTGAAATTAATATATCTTAAGAACTAATTGAGATATCGTGATGAAACTAAAAGAGTTTAAAAGCAAATTTAATCTAGTTTTAATGTGAGAAAGCTTAATTTTTAATTTCGATTAATTCGGTTGTTATGATTTTTTTAATTACACCCTGTTTATTAATAGTTAAAAAATTGAGTAAAAGCTTAAAATTAAAAGGGTCATATCTCAAGAACTAAGTGAGATATCTTAATGGGATAAAAAGCATTTTAAAGCAAATTTAATCAAGATTCATCACTCAAAAAATAATTTCTTATTTTCTATAACTCAAGTTGTTGTGATTTTTTTAACCCAACCCTGCTTTTTTTCTTGTTGCGGATGGTTTATAAAAATTGAAATGAATGTATCTTAAGAACTAATTGAGATATCGTGATGAAACTAAAAGAGTTTAAAAGCAAATTTAATCTAGTTTCAATGTGAGAAAGCTCAATTTTTAATTTAGATTAATTCGGTTGTTATGATTTTTTTAATTACACCCTGTTTATTAATAGTTAAAAAAATGAGTAAAAGCTCAAAATTAAAAGGGTCGTATCTCAAGAACTAAGTGAGATATCTTAATGAGATAAAAAACATTTTAAAGCAAATTTAATCAAGATTCATCACTCAAAAAATAATTTCTTATTTTCTATAACTCAGGTTATTGTGATTTTTTAATCCAATCCTGCTTTTTTTCTTGTTGCGGATGGTTTATAAAAATTGAAATTAATATATCTTAAGAACCAATTGAGATATCGTGATAAAACTAAAAGAGTTTAAAAGCAAATTTAATCTGGTTTTACTGTGATTTTTTCACCCTGCATATTAATAGTTGAAAATTAAAAGGAGCGTATCTCAAAAAATAAGTAAGACATTTTCATGAGATAAAAAGCATTTTAAAGCAAATTTAATCAAGATTCATCAGTCATAAAATTATTTCTTAATTTTTAAAACTCGGGATGTTATGATCTTTTTACGTCCACTCCGCATTTTTGGTTTAAGTGAAATAACAATGTATGATAAGATAACTTTTAAAAAATAAACTATTGTAAAGTTATGGAATGAAACGTTAAGTTTCAACACAATATCGCATGTCGTATTACAGACACGTCCCCCAATAATGGTGGAATTTGATATCGTTTTCAGTGTGGATGTTTAAATTGCGTTCATTCGATAAAAGCGTTTGCCATTGTATTATATTTCACATCATACCGTTCGAAATATATAGTAACTACTTTCGTCTGCAATCGAAAAGCATCAAGTGCAGCCAACTACTCGGCCAATTTATCGTTTTTAACGTTCATACCTTGACCTATCGGAGAATTAACACAGTGTCATCGATCGAATATTAAACGGGGTTAGAGGATTATCCGAAATTCCCGACCAGGGGTAATTTAGCCATTCTCAGACATCGGGTCGAGAGTAAGGGAATTAGGCTATAACGTTCAATGCCAGCTAAGCAGTTTGTGTTAGTTCATGATTAAATCCCCAACTTATTGACAACAGGGAGAGGGTCGGTCGGTATTAACTATTATTACACGGGATGGCTTTGCTTTAGTTAACCACCCTCGGTGGTAAGTAATACGGGGAAACGGAAATTCATAAATATAATATCCCTACAAAATCATTTTAAAATGGCTCCCATTTATTTATAAATTACTAACTCGCTGTACGTTGAATTATTTACCAAAACGAGACGAAATAGCATTCTCTGATCCACATATTCGTGGAAAATCGGGCGGTTCTGCAAATAACTAGGGAATTCAACAGATATTCAAAATTAAACGTGTGTTCCAATCCTATTCGTGGAACGGGTAGAAATTATTTTGTATTCGCGAAAATGCAGCTATGGCAAAGCGAACCAAACAGATTGATAAAAGAGAGATTATTGCCATCAATATCGTTCGATTTCATTTTGTTTATTTTTTGGGCACGCAAGGGAAATACAAAATTTAGGGCATTACTTTTGTTGCCGTGCCGTCAAGAAAAAATGGAGATATCAAGTTCTGGAATTATTACAAATTAGAGTATTGCATGAGCCGAGTCGGCCTCAATGGCTTAATTGCGGGGTAAACTTCACACGTGACACTTTTCCACAAAGTGAGAACCCACCCTCACGACTTGAAAAAGACGTTGAAAGTAGTAAAAATCGTTTCTTTTTGTACGATCAAATGTGGCGAATATTTGAATAGCAAAAATGTAACGTAAAATTCCCTTGCATAGCAAAAGCTCGGTTTGTAGAAATAATGCGTCCGCGTAGAACTTTTTTAATAACCCCAATTCGAAATTGTGATCGAAGTTAGCAAAAGCCTTGGGGCGTAATTCAACCCGATTCCGTGGTAGAAAATTCTGCTGCCAAGCGCACACACGTACATACGACTCGGTCGCTTTTTTATTATCGTGGCCCCCTTTTTAATTCCGCAGGAAAGAACACGGTTATATCAAGTTAAAAGCCGCGGGTCCCCTGGGGATCCCCGGAGAGATTAAATTGCGGGCCAAATCGGGCGGGACCGCGGTTTTCGGGAACCTGGCTTTCGCCTGGAAAATACGCTTAATATAATGCAGATGCAAATTAGTGGACCATAAATTCAGTTAAACGTGTTAACAGGGCCCGGGGTGGCCTCCACGTGGCGTGCAACGTTATATTCACCATTAGTTAGTACCACATGGTCTCATTATAAAATCATTATGTTTTACATCAGGTGTGTTTGTTCTAAGTATTACAATTATACAATTTGATCAATAAAATAAAATCTCAACTTTTAGATTGTTATGTACCGTTATAAAGAGCACAATATAATAAGAATTATGAGTGTATCATCAAAACTAAACCTTACAGAGTTGGATTAAAAAAATCACAACAACCTAAGTTATTAAAAATAAGAAATAATTTTTTAGGTGATGAATCTTGATTAAATTTGCTTTAAAATGTTTTCATCTCATTAAGATATCTCACTTAGTTCTTGAGATACGACCCTTTTAATTCTGAGCTTTTTCTCAATTTTTTTAACAATTAATAAACAGGGTGTAATTAAAAAAATCATAACAACCGAATTAATCGAAATTAAAAATTGAGCTTTTTCACATTAAAACTAGATTAAATTTGCTTTTAAACCCTCTTCGTTTCAAAGTGATATCTCAATTAGTTCTTGAGATACATTAATTTCAATTTTTATGGATTATACGTAACAAGAAAAATGCAGGGTTGGATTAAAAAAGTCACAACAACCCGAGTTATAGAAAATAAGAAATTATTTTTTGGGTGATGAATCTTGATTAAATTTGCTTTAAAATGTTTGTTATTTCATTAAGATATTTCACTTAGTTCTTGAGATACCACCCTTTTAATTTTAAGCTTTAAATCATCTTTTTTAACTATTAGTAAACAAGGTGTAATTAAAAAAATGATAACAATCGAATTAATCGAAATTAAAAATGGAACTTTCTCACAATAAAAGTAGATTAAATTTGCTTTTAAATCCTTTTAGTTTCAAAGTGATGTCTCAATTAGTTCTTAAGATATATTAATTTCAATTTTTATGGATTATACGTAACAAGAAAAATGCAGGGTTGGATTAAAAAATCACAACAATCTGAGTTATAGAAAATAAGAAATTATTTTTTGAGTGATGAATCTTGATTAAATTTGCTTTAAAATGTTTTTTATCTCATTAAGAAATCTCACTTAGTTCTTGAGATACGACCTTTTTAATTTTGAGCTTTTTCTCAATTTTTTTAACTATTAATAAACAGGGTGTAATTAAAAAAATCATAACAACCGAATTAATCGAAATTAAAAATTGAGCTTTCTCACAGTAAAACTAAATTAATTTTGCTTTTAAACTCTTTCGGTTTCGTCATGATGCCTCAATTAGTTCTTGAGATACATTAATTTCAATTTTTATTAATTATCTGTAACAACAAAAAACGTAGGGTTGGATTAAAATAATCACAACAACCCGAGTTATAGAAAATAAGAAATAATTTTTCGGGTGATGAATCCTGATTAAATTAGCTTTAAAATGTTTGTTATTTCATTAAGATATCTCACTTAGT